GAGATTTCTAAAATTGCACACAACGAGTTTAGGTAAACTATGCATACAAATGTTCCATAGGACTTGAAGAAAGAATTGTAAATGAGGGACATACAGGGCCTGTTGAGCCATTTTTAAGCTTGGGTTTGTTGCAGAGTGGTACGTAGATGTTGTAATAATTGACATCACCCATCTCTTCGAAGGATTTTCCTATGAAGCTGTCACAATTTGCAGATGAAGTTCCATTCCAAAAATCACACGATGTTTTGATGCCTTCATGTGTTTCATCTGAGTTTAAGGCTTGAGTCCATGCATAATCATAGGTCCCCATTCCATCTGTAGGACGATTGATCGCTGCATTTCCTATCTGAAGGATACATAGCAACTAGAGAGAGTAGAAATATTTTATCTTAGAGAGAGATGGAGAAAGAAAGTAAAATTAAAGGTGAATTAGTTTTTAACCTACAGCAATGCCTTTGAGGTTAATGATGGTTATTTCGTTTCTGTTATTTTGCAGAATGGTGTACGCGAGGTTAATGAGGCACGTAATGGCCGTCATAGCGTTCTCCGGTTATGTAAAAGTCGCGGGGTTTATACTGTGGGAACCTCTCAAGCCAGTTGATGAGAAAGGTATTGGCATCAATGGCAGTACTCTTGTCGCCGGCATGATCATAATCAGAAGATGTATTTGAATACGAAAAGCCCACCCCAGCTGGAGACTCCAAGAAAAGCACATTTGCCACTGCCAATTTTCAATGGGAAGCACAAAGTATGGTTCAATTAGACAGACAAGAAAAAAAAATGATAAAATGGACTCACCATTGTTCCATGCATAGTTATTCCGATAGAGAGTTTTGCCATCGGAATTGATTTTGAAAAGCCCTAATTCCTCCATGGCTTCATACCCAAATTAAGGAAATGGGATCATGATGATTATTGTGATGGTTGTAAAATTTAGGGTTGGATCACTCACACAAGCACATGTACTTTAGTTGATTGATGCACTATAAATGAATCAGTTTCACTAGGGTTGTAAAGGCTGCAACTTTCAACTCCATAGAGCATATGAAATGAAGATAGTTATACCCAATGACATTGAAGATGGTATTACTTGTCAACAGCCATTTTGATTCAGTACCTCCATTTAGCCATAAAACCCAAGGGTTGGTGGAAGAATTTTGTGGGGACTCAACAAAGTAGTAGAATAGTGCTCGGCCAGCCTGTGGATCAACTGTGACATACCCTGCATACTGATTAAAATCCATGCCCCGGCAACACATCGATCTTGTCGGCTTGCATCAACCCATCTTGGGGACCAATGTACACAGCAGAGTACTCTTCTGTGGCATTTATTTCTGCCCAAGAATGTTGAACAGGGGGGTTCTGTGATCTTCTGGACTTGATCAACCTGTGAAGGTTTGTGGCCTGACTTGCATGACTGGAACTAAGGAGTGCCAAAAAGCAGAAATTGAAGGGCACCAAAGTGAGTCCTACAATATTTTTCACATTCTTGCTTCTTAGCATGCGTGTGCTCTAATTTTCATAAAAGAGGTCATGTGATATATAGTTAAGGACTATGACATTAAGGAATTTTCCTTGTTTGTTCTTTGGTATCTAGTACAATTAATCCAAAATTTCAATCTGGCCGGCTATAGTTTATATGATTCTTAACTGCATTATATTCTTAGTTTGCTTCTTTTAAATTTATATATATGAAAATGTTGTATTATTATGTTTGGTTTATTACTTTTGTTGTTGCACAAGACCAATGATGCTCTCGTGGGTTTATGTGTTCATTTCTGCTGCAAAATGACAATCACAATTTATTATATTAGTGGTTCATTACAAAATAAATAATCCTTTGTTGGAATACCCATTTACACCCTATTTGTTTCCAACCTGTAAAGATATGCTAACAAGCTAATGGCCAAGTTGTGGTCATCCCTACCCAGATCCATTATTTAGTTACATGAGTTCATGGCAGAATTTTAATTAGTGCATGTTTTATGCCTTTTTCTGAAAAGAAAAATTCCTAGATGTATTAAGAGCAAACAATGTTCATCAGTAGATATACAATACAATATAATACCACAACTTTTTAGATTAGCCCATTGTATCAAAGTAAAATTTAAACCAGTAAGGTCAATCATTACATAGTACATGCATACATTGGATGTTTACCAAGAAGAAAGGGGGAAAGAGCAAAAGGAACAAATTTAAATTGGGGAATGGATTGAGGTTGGGCTAGATCATTACTTCAAGGAACAAAATTCTAGGCTTGGGTAGTAAGTGTACCCTTTTTCTTCGTTTTTTTTCTTGGTTTGACTTCTGAGGCTCAAACAAGGCTCATTCTTGAAGAATGATGATATAGATGGCATTGAAATGGCAAGCCAAAACTAAAGCCAGAACTATGCAGACCAGGTGTTGATGAATCAACCATTTAACCCACCTAGACACCACTTGATTTTATATACTCTACCAACCCTGTTGTACTTGCTTTTTCGACTGTAGGCACTTTGTGCATGATCAATTGCCAAAAACACAATCCATATACACATATTTAACTTTGTATTCAGCAGAAATTACACACCTGAGCATATATGTTTGTTGTAATGGTAATGTCAAAACACTCAGATTGATAAATGCAAACAGTGTGTTAACATATGGTAATACTCATTTTGTGCAGACAATGTCAAACAGTGGGTGTGTATCAGTGTATACAAAATATGTTTCCTTCTATTCTGCTTTGGCAAGACTAACTGTACAATGTATCGCCTTAGATAGCACCATCAGTGGACATGTTTGTTCATTTCAACATGAATATATATAATATATATACATGATTTGACGCATATTTATCCCAATTAAGATCTTTTACAGTTGTTAGGATTTTTAGGATTCTAGCAATGTGATTGACAAATTTTGTAGAACAAAACTCACTCAGTGTAATTTAATGGTCATATTCTCAGTGAGTGACTTTGAAATAGTTAGGTGATTCAAGTGTGAAAACAATTCTTGTTGAAGAAAGCTACTGGACAAAAAGCTCTTAAGATCTTTTACAAAGGGCATAACAGTTCAAGATCGTCTGCAGAAGTCAAAGACGTAACCTTCTCAAGGCCGAGCTTAAAAAGGTATGAAACACGCGCGATTCCCTATCTATCACCATATAGGGACAAGCATCCATGTGGTACATGATCATACATTGAAAGTTGCACGGTAAAACCTACGTGTTATATTAGTCAATATACGCAAAATTGGAAAAAAGTGTGTTTACATGTAGTTATATATTATATTTGTTAAGATTAAGATTCTAGAGCTTTCTCTTATATACACACACACACACACACACACAAAAGTATATAGAAAGTTTCTTATTCATGCATCAGACCATATTTGCTAAGTTTTCAGTTTTCTAAACTTACTTAGGCATGTCCTTGTGCATCAAGAAAAGGTTTTCCAAATATGCATTCATGCTTATTTTGCTAGGTTCTAAGTTGCTTTAGACTTATATATTGAGTATACAATTCAAAGCTTACTACAAGTATCTTGCAATGGATAGATATACAAATCAAAGCATTCTCTATAGAGTAATAAATAAAATAAGTGATAAAAGCTCAGCTCTAGATGAAAATAGCAAAGATATCTTAGATTTTCAAGTATGATGTGAGCAATCTAAGATTTAGCAAGAGGATAGCCCAAATGAGTAAAGCTTGTAGAGAATATACAAGTGCTATGTGCAAAAGGTGCTCAAAATGGTAAGGGATCTCCTATTTATAACCTCATTGGGAATTGTGTTCGTTGGAGTATTTTAAGAGGCTGTTTGGAAACAGGTTTATAAAAATTTCGAGTCATGCGGACGTCTATAGGATTCCATGTAGATGTTTAGTCCTCTTTATATCACTTTAAGCACTTATCCGTTTTGTATTCACGTAGATGTTAAGCTCTGAGAAATCTACGTTGATGGACGTACACAAGGAACCATGTAGAGGTCTACTTAGCAATTTCCTGAAACCTCTACACTTGCAGTCCTTTGCCAATTTACTAAGAGGTAGATATCTATAGCAAGACATGTAAACGTCAATAAGGCCATTCCTGAAACTTTGCACCTAAAGTGCTTTGGCCAAGCCATTAAGGTGTAGATGTCTATATAGTAAAACATCTAGACGTCTAGTCATTTTCAAAAATTTAAGTGTTGAAGTAACACTGAGTGGCCAAATGATTCTTTTGCCCTTTTTATGTAAATCATCTTAGTTCTTGGACCAAGTCATTTATCATAGGACCTTAAAATGATTAGATTTAAAATTTAAAATTTTAGGTCCCTAGTTCATTTAAATCTAAGAATTGAGCTTTCGAAACAAATGCAACAAGAATTGCTTTATGTTGAAGGATATATATATTTAAGTTACACCCTCTTTAACAGCTTAAGCTTTTAGAGTAGATGATTATTAACATGGTATCAGAGCCAAAGGTCTCGAGTTCAAACTCACCGTCACCCTAATCAAAAAATTGAAAGGTACGTGTCGGATCAAAAGAAGGCCACACGTGAGGGGGCGTGTTGAAGGATATATATATTTAAGTTACACCCTCTCTAACTGCTTAAGCTTTTAGGGTAGATGGTTGTTAACACTTTACAAAGATTCTAGCTCACCAACCTAAATAACCCCATGTTCTTGAACTTGATCTTCAATATTTGAGATCCATTTGCCATGAGCTTATATCCAAGAGGGCTTGTGCATTTGTCCAAGTATGTAAACTTCATAAATTTTTCTAAAATTAATCACACTCAAGTAGAATATCAATTCCAACATTAATAAGTTGTTATTATCAAATTACCCATTTACCCTTGGTATGAAACCTTAGGGTTAACAGCTAATATCCTTGGTATATCATAAACTCAAAAGCACACTATTATAAAAGTCAAAACCTAAATAATGATGCCATTGACCAACTGCAACATGCCTACACAAGCCAGGTTTAATTGGGACTGAGCATGACTTTTGTCAGGCTTGGCTAGTGAGCAATATCCAGTAAGATAAGACTTCCTAAAGCTTTTTATTAGAAGTTACAGTAATTTTATACATGGTATAAGCATATATAGATGGATCTTCATGAGAAAGGAAGGAGAGAGCCTTGAAGGAATGATGAGATCATGAGCAGTGCTCTCTCAGGCTGGTAGCTTGGAACTATATGTCCTGCTCCTCTTACTGTTGCAAATGTTAACCCTTTGTATTCCTCCACATAACCACCAACCTGCCATTATATTCCATGCATATCATATCAGTTAACTCAAGTCACTCTTTTAGTGGCAAATATTGTAAGATTATTTTTCTCTCCAATATTACGTGTTGCTTGATCATATGGTTCAAAATGCGTCACATCAAGTTTGAAAATATCAAAACAAAGTTAATTAGCTTTCATGGCACATTCTGAATCATAGAATTAAGCATCGCGGAGTACCGTAGAGAAAAAAATAGAAGAGAGGATCCTTATCCTATAACAACAACAAATAAACCATCGAAGGAGAAGTGGATATTTTCAATTCAAAGGAGACGTAAAGAAATTTTCAGTTGTGGAATATAGATCCTTTTAGTGGTTTGACAATTAAATAATAGACTTAGTAATGATGATTGTGAGCATAATACATATGGAGGTGAAGGAAGATGGGAAGGATTGTAAAGGGAAAAAAATAAGTATAACATGTCCTTTTGTGTGTATCCCTTGAGGTATTCTTAAGAATGGCTTTTAATCTATATAAACTCAAATTAATGTATATATGCAAAAGTATATGATATATTGAAATTTTATCTGAATCTTATTTCCGAAGTAATAATACAGGTAGACCATAGTTATAATATATGAACCCAATTTCTTTATCTTCATTCTTCTTGTGGTTCATATTTACCAATTTCTTTCTTTTTCTATATATATCTGAGTCCAGTTATTACTACCATTCAAAATATCTGGTTTTTTACTGGACTTTGTCATAAGTTGAAGAAACTAGGAGTCTGTTTGACTTTGTTTTTTGAAAACTAAAAAGGAAAACATAATTGTCCTTTCAAATTGTTTTTAACTCAAATTTCATAAAACAATGTTTTTGTTTGACATATTTTTTTTACTCATTTTTCATAAAATAACTTTTTTTTTGTGCCTCTCTCTCTTCTTCTTCTTCTGTTTTTTTCAAAAAACAAAGAAAAAGAGACCAAGACGGACCAATATTTTTCCTCTCCTAAAGTTTGAGTATTTAAAAGTTGCGAAACGCAAAAGGGAACTACTCCAGAAACATCACATGCTATATCAGATTTTTTATTTTTTATTTTTTAATTTTTATTTTCGAAAGTTCAAGCAAACACACATACCCTCACAATATCCCCTAGCGGGGCTCCGATACTCAACCTCCCCTTTGGAGAGGAGAGATCATATGATCTGCACTAAAGACATACATATTGTAGGATTGTCTCATTTATAGTAGCAATTATTAGCATAACAAATGATGTAGAAGTCTAGTGCAGGACCATCTAAAGGAATATGATGGTAAATGAATTTTTATGTGTGTCTATGTGGAGATATATGTGTGTGTGTATATATATATATATATGTATGTATTTATATATTACCTCATTGTTAATGTACCATGGACGCCAAGCCGTCTGGATTGGAAGGTTTAGAGTGTTCATATCGTACTTGGTTGATGTAACTGGAACAACGGCATCTATGTCACCACTGCAGGAGCAATATCTTTCAGGTAAATCATCCATGAACTTGAACAGTCCCAGTTTACTTACTTGGAATTGGAGTTTGCTATATTGCACTCTGATTAGTTAGACCTTGTCTCTGATAGTTTTAAAAATTTTGGAATTAAACCAAACAGATTGAACTGGCTAACGAACTAATTCGAACGTATAAGAATGGTTTAATTTTAAAAGGCAAGTACTTTAAACAAGAACATATAGTTTAATTGAACAATGATTGTTTTATTTTAGTGTAAAGAGAATGTGTGTGTGTATATAGTGTCACATTGATTTGTTGTGGTGCAATTTTATAGCATCGTCATCATACTTGCCTTAATCCCATATGAATATGAATGGGTAGATGCTAACCACTCACATAAAAGAAACTAGCAAAATCATGGTTCAGTTTGGATCGGTTCTGTTTTTTTGGTTCTTAGAAAAAGAAACTAAACCGACCCTAACAATCTCACTATTTGTGGAACCATGATAGAACTGCCTCCCAAGACTAATTCAAACCGTATGATTTGGATCGGATTGACGGTTATATCTGTGTGCACCCCAATTTGTGTTTCAAGGAGGCCAAAACATAGGAATTTGAATTTTGAAACTTCTCAGATTATATATGTTATGTCATGATGTATACTTAAAAAAAAAAAAAAAAAAAAAAAAAAAAATTGTTATATCATGATGTAGTTAAGCTTGCTTGCCTGTATACCCAGACTCTTTTTCCATTTGCAATGAGATCCTTGATGATGGGTAGAATGGTTGTTGGGCTGTCAGTCCAATAATCAAAGCTGCAAAATGTCAAAATTAGAGTACAATATTTGTTACTAAAATGTAATTGATTTTCGATACCAGTTATTAGCTAAAACTCAACCTCCTGCAACCTATCCAAGTCATTGTATTTGCATGGAGAGACTTTTGCACCTCTGCAGTGTTCAAATATGAGTCGACATGGAAGTCCGAGCACGGATCATAATCGTTGACCTGGTTATTTGTCTGTCTCATCAGTATTGTTCTATTCCTGATTTTATGAGAACTTCTCTAATTGCATACAATAAGTGAAGGTAAAACTCTGCATGCAAATGTTTTATCTGACTTGACGAAAGAATTGTGAATGAGTTACTTACAGAGCCAGTGGAGCCATTTCTTAGCATGGGTTCGTCGCAGAGTGGTGCGTAGATGTTGTAAAAATCTATATCACCAGCCTCATATACTGCTTTTTTCATGAACATGCCACACTCTGCAGGTGTAGGTCCATTATCCTCAAAATGACAAAATGTGTTGATGCCTTCATGTGTTTCATCCGAGATTAAGGCATGAGTCCATAAATGATCAAAGATCCCCTTTAAACCTGTAGGATTGTTCATCACAGCATTTCCTATCTGAAGGATAATAAACACAGGCATTAGAGTGAGTAGAAATCTTTAGCTTAAAGAAAGTAAAATAAAAGGCGTTTAAGTATTAAACCTACAGCAATGCCTTTGAGGTTAATGATGGTTTTTGCATTCCAGTTATTTTGCAGAATGGTGTATGCGAGCTGAGGCACATAATGGCCGGCATAGCTTTCTCCGGATATGTAAAAGTTGCGGATTTTGTACTGTGGGAACCTCTCAAGCCAGTTGATGAGAAAGGTGTAGGCATCTTTGGCAGTACTCTTGTCGCCAGTGTGATTATAATCAGAAGATGTATTTGAATACGAAAAGCCTACCCCAGCCGGAGACTCCAAGAAAAGCACATTTGCCACTGCCAATTTTCAATGGAAATCATTAGGTATGGTTCCATTAGATAGATAAGAAAAGGAAAAAGAAATATGATGAGATGATAGTAGAATGGAGTCACCATTGTTCCATGCATAGGTATTCCGGAAGAGAGTTTTGTTATCAGGATTTACTCTGAAAGGCCCCAATTCCTCCATGGCTCCATACCCAAAAGAGGAACATCCTGGTCCTGTTTTCCAAATTAAGCAAATGGGATCATGATGATTATTGTGATGGTTGCCAAATTTAAAGGTACGATCACTCACACAAGCATATGCACTTAAGTTGTTTAATGCACAATAAATGAATTAGTCTCACAACTATGTTTATATGGGAGCAATTTTGAACTTCGTAAGGCATTTGAAATGAAGATATGTCCAAAAAAAGTGAATATGAGAATGCTTGTGGATAGTCATTTTGGTTTAGTACCTCCATTTAGCCATAGAACCAAAGGATTGGTAGAAGAATTTTGCGGAGACTCAGCAAAGTAATAGAAGAGTGCTCTACCAGCCTTTGGATCAACTGTGACATACCCTGCATACTGATCGAAATCTACGCCATCTGGTTGCCCAGGCAAAGCGTCGATCTTGTCAGCTTGCATCAACCCATCTTGGGGACCAATGTACACATCAGAGTACTCTTCTGTGGCATGTAATTCTGCCCATGAATCTGAAACAAGGGGGTTTGGTGATCTTCTGGAATTGATCAACCTGTGAAGGTTTGCAGCCTGACTGGCATGACTTGAACTAACGAATGCCAAAAAGCAGATAGTGAAGAGCACCAAAGTGAGGCCTGTAAGTTTTTTCATATTCTTGCTTCTTAGCATGCATGTATGCTAGTGTTCATAACAGAGACAATATGATATATAGTTAAGAAGGACGATAATATTTAGAAATTTTCTTTGTTTTTTCTTTGGTCCTTTGTTTGTTCTTGGTGATTTTGGGGTCTACAATTAATCCCAAAAGTCAAACTTGCCGGCTATGGTTTCTAAGGTGCTTAATTGCATTATGTTCTTAGTTTGCTTCTTTTAAGTTTTATATATGAATGATTTGTATCATTGTGTTTGGCTTATTACTGTTTTTTTGTTAGACAAGACCATCTAATATAATCAAATGAAGCTTTATTCTGGAAAATGACAATCACAATTAGTTATATTAGTGGTCAATTACAATACAAATAAGCCTTTGTAGGAATATTTAGTTAGACCCTATGTGCTTGCAACCTGTAAAGAAGACATGTTAATAAGCTAATTCCCAAGTTGTTGTCATCCCAGTCCAAATTCATTATTTAGTCACGTGAGTCCTTTTTATCTCATATCAAAATTTTAATTAGTGTTTTAGGCTTTTTCTTTTTATTTTCTTAAAAAAAAGACTTCTAAGAGCAAACAATGTTCAACAGTAGATAATACAAGATAAGACCACAATGTATTAGATAAGCCCATTGAATTAAAGTAAAGTTTAAATCAATTAGGTTAATTATTGCATAGTACATGCATACATTGGATGTTTACCAAGAAGAAGGGAAGAAAAGAGCAGAAGGAACAAATGTAAAGCATCACAAACATGCAAAAATACCCCTTTCCCATCTAATTTGAGACCAAAGTCTCTAGGCATGTGCTGTTCCTTTTTCTCTTTTTTGTTAGTTTTACTTGTGTGGCCAAAACAGGGTCATTCTTGAAGAATGTCATGAGGATGTGATTGCTCACCATTGAACATCCAACGGTTTGGATGTTTCCATAAAAGCCTCCAAGCTATGATGATCACTAGGGTAATCCTCTGGATTCCAGAGCTTTGAAAAGAAAATCCATCATGGCAGCAGGAACTCTTTCATGGCAACATTGCCAAAAAAAGAAAGGCAATTTCCTGTGGTTTTGGGATTTTACATATATTTTTCCACTGGCTTAAGAAATCCTACTGTATCTAAGCCTGCTTTGGGATTTTCTGTTTTGCTGCATAAGAACCAATTAAAAGGCACTTTTTGTTAGAATTTGTGAATACAAATTGTTTGATCAGTCATCAACAGAATATGTGAAAGACATGTATGGTTGATATGCCAGGTGTGAATGGTCCATCCATCTTTAACACATTTTGGGAAATATAGTTGTGACGTAAACGGAAGCGATAAATTAGTTCACAAGGAACGAGTTACTTTGAATCCATAAAGTAGGGTGTTTTAAATCCACAAAAAAGAGATAAATTTATAACGAATTCTGAAATATTATTGATAAAATGTTGAATTTTGCTCTTGCAATACATAAAAATAAATTCTCTCTAAAAAAATCCAAATAAATAGAATAAGAAACCTAATAAATAAAAAATACTAAATCTAAAATTTTAGAGTAATCCGAGTTCGTTAATGTGATTCTTCTCACTTGTACGATTTTTTGAGCATTTTTCACATTTCTGCATTTTATTTATTTCGTTGTCTCGTGTTGCATGCCATGCATTGATTTGCGTGTCATGAGGGTTTTCGTATTGAGTTAGTGCATTGATGTGAGTTCGGGACGCATAGAATTACATTTTGGGCCATTTTGGCAATTTTTGAAATTTTGGCTCGGGAGACCCGTGTGGGTCCCACACCGGGGTTTTGGATCCCGAATTATTTTCCTTGCTGTAATAATTTATTTTATATGTTATTTACTAATTATGCGGGGATAGGATAGTCTTTTGGCATTGGATTGGCATGGTAGTGATTTAGGAAGGTTGGAGGGGCATTTTGGTCATTTGGCATGGTCACACCTTTGACCACCTTTGCACTTAAGACACATATTCACCCACTTGGCAGATATATTACATGCACTAATTCACCCTCCCACGCATAGGACTTCAGTTGTGCTGCCTTCTACTACTATCTTCTTCCTTCCTCAAGCAATTTTTTTCCTCCATTGAAGCTCTTTTTGGAGCTTAGAATTGAGGGCTTTATAGAGGGATTTTGGGGCTGCCATAGGAAGGAGAAATGACCCTAAGGATCAGAGCTTCCAATTGATGTAAAAATCAGACCCATTTCTTCCTTGCTGATTTTCGAATTTAACCTTGGAAGTGGGATTTTTTTGGGGCTTCAAGAGAGGTTTTTGTTCCTCTCATCTTCTTCTTTCCTTTGGGTGTTCTTGGCTGCCATTTGGTGACTTTTGATTTCAGAAATTGGAGGCTGTTTTGTGGGTTTTAGCTTGGCTTGAGGTAGGAGTTGAATAAACCCTCACAACCTTTGTTTCTTGTGAATTAAATCTCTCTAAATTGAACCATTAAGTGACTAGATTTGAATCCTCCTTACAAGCAAGTTATATAATGAAATCTGAAAATTTTAACTATCATGATAATGATGTATTGTGAGCTTTGAGCCTTGAATTTGAGCTCTTCTAAATGTTGGTTGTGCCATGTGCATTAAACTGAAATTTTTTGTAATTTTAGTAGTTGTGTTATTGTTGCTACAAACTGAACCTTTCATGTTAATGTGCCTCAAATTTTGATAATGCTTTGTTCTAAGCTTTGTGTTGTGTGGTTCTAAAACTGCCATGTTAATTTTCTGAAATCTGCCATGTTAATTTACTACCCAAAACATGATGTATGTAAATGGTATTGAATTGAGAAGTAGTAACATGGCATGACATTGGAAAGCATGTATTTTCATGCATGTGCATTGGGTGAAATGCATAGGAAGAACTGAAATTTTTTCGAAGGAGGAAACAAATCTGTATCTTTTTGGGAAATTGTTTTGGAAAATATTGGTTGTGAAGACCGGGCGGCAAGGAGTTACCTTGTGTCTATGTCATTAATGGGACCTCTAGAGGGGACGTAGGGAGTTTGTCTTGCATGTGGTTGAGTTACTAGGCCCCAAATGACGCTAGGGAGTTACCATAGGTCAGAGATAGATGTCAATCCTCTCCTCGTGGCGGTGGGGAGTTACCTCGGGCCGGGTTACATTAACGGTTTGATGATGGAGGCATTGGATGGGATTTTATAAAACGAGGAGTGACATTATCATTTCATTGCACGCCATTGCATCACATGATTATTTCTCCTTCCCGAACGAGCATGACTCCCTTTACTTATGTCTATTATTTGTTTGGATTCACGGAGGTATCAAGGAGTGTGTTTTAGGCAACTCCTATTGGGTCGTTGTGCTCACTTCCTACTATATTTTTTTCAGATCATGGAAAGGAGGTCGTTGAGGACGTCCCTCCACAGACTTAGACGGATTTGGAGCATCTTTTGTGGCATTTCTTTTGTATAAATGTAATTGTATAATTAATGGACAAGCATGTATATTATGAACGGTATTCGCAGTCATGTGTTGTTAAGGCATGCAGTAGTGGACTATAAGGACTTTTCGCATGGATAACGCTTCCTTCTTTTATTTGATTTCATGTTTTACGATTCCACATGAATATAGCCTTTGGATGGTGTGTCGGGACATATTATAGGTGTTCAAAGTGGTCCTAGAACCTAAGGAGGTTCAGTAGAGACCAAGCTAGGGTTACAAGGAGACCATACATTCTCTGCAGTGTGCAGTTGTAGGTCCACAACTCGGACTCCAGTTTTGGGTTGTGACAAAGGTGGTATCAAAGTATGGTTCTTTAAACCTTAGGACGACGGGTAAGGGTTATCCATGGTTAGCTGTTTTTTAAGGACTTGTATTGTTTCACATGCCTATGTGTTTAATTGTTTAAGGATTTGTGAGCATGCCTACTTGCTTATGTGATTACGTGCTTACTTGCTTAGGATTATGTCTCTTATGCATGCTATATGTTTAAAGGCATTCATTCATGTTGAGTCGTTCTTGGACAGTAAATAGTGTCACTGTTTCAATAGTCCAAAGTTGACGCCTTAGGCAACTTCTACTGAGCCTCCATGCTCACCCAATCCTTTATTAATTTTTAGATCACGGCAAGGAGGTACTCGACGATGTTCCTCCACATGTGTAGTCGGTGTTGAAGAATCCATTATTTTGTATCACTAGTAATCATGTATTGTTTTTGTAATAACTAGAACAAACTTGTATTATTTTGAAATTATCACCATAATGAAGAGTGACTATCCATTTGGTTATATTTTGGGAATGTAATTAATAAAGCGTGTTTGTGGATTATCTTAAAATTATATTAATGTTTGAATATGTATGAATTAAAGAATTATTAGGAATATATACACACACGTACAATGGTGTTATATTATTATTTCAGTGGTTGTATTGTGGGATAGTTGTGTACAAAAATTGGTTAATCAAATTAAGGATAAAAAAAGAAAAAAAAATATTCAATACCTGGGAAGTTTCGGTCGACGCGTAAGTACCCACATGTCGATCGATATCTCTATATTTTGGACGGTAGGCTTTTCCACTGTACACGGCACAAACCGGTCAACGTGAAAAGGTTTACGTCAACCGATTCACTTAAACAATCCGAGACCAAATCACTCAAACTAGTTGACGTATAAGTGTTAGACGTCGACCGGTTCCTATTATTTTTACCTTTGTAATTTATTTTTCACTTTTGCCCTCTTCCACTCACTTAAGGACATTATTACACACAATGTGATCAAATAAAACACAATAACTATATTTTAGCCAAGAGGATGACCGTATTACCCCTGGACTTCATCATAATCATTGGATGACCTCAGTAAAGGACCGTTTTACCCTTTTTGGGTTTTGAAACCAATATATGTGTGTGTGTGTGTGAGAGAGAGAGAGAGAGAGAGAGAAAGAGAGAGATAAAGGACTATATTGCCCTTGTTGGGCCTTAAAGTATTAATTTAACGTGAAATGACCGTGTTACCTTAGGATGAGTTCGAGTCGAGTTAGGACCTGGTT